TTACTTCGTGGAGCCTTCTTATTTAAAGGTAACATGGCGGTTATCTAGCAAGAAAATAAAATCGGCGATCCAAGTTCAAATGCTAGCCGAGTCTGCTGCATTCACTTTCGTATCAATGATTGTATCAATGAAAAGCAAGACGCCATCTCTTCCCTCACCATCCAGCTGTGTCTAAAAAAACTGACTGAATTCTCCAGCATTGATTCCTAACCAATCTAGAAGGAAAACTCTGAATTTAGTTCAGTTAGGCGTGTGGCTGGCCAGGCCACCCTTTAAAAATCAACTTTGACTGAAATTGCAATAGCATCCACAGAGTCGAATCATCCTCATTTCCTCCTTATTTTTAATGTAAGGAGAAAGTTCAAGTTCACTTTGCCTCAAAAACTGCTACTTTCTGGAACAGGCTCCTGAGTGGATGCTTCCTTGAACGCTACTATCTTAACCTCATCAAATCAATGGTCAATAGTTATCTTTCCTCATGATCTTCATTTCCTCTTTTACTCATATCACACACTTCATTTATCATAACTATTTTAATAGTAATCCTCTACCTTGAGTGGCTTTCGAACTTTTGAGTAAACATTATGAAAAAATGTCCTAGAATTTTCAATTGTTTCTGATTCTAAATGTGTGCGTTTTCTTTCCATTTTCCTTAAAACTTCCTCATTGCTCACATGCTCTGCCCATGACGCATTCGGCATCCTTCTGTAGACCCTCATCACTACTGCTTCAAGTCTTCCATTCATCTGAGAGGAAATTGTCTAGCATGCACTGCCATGTAGGAGAACTGATATAAGTAGCATTTCAGTACGATTTTATATGTAAAGAATTTTTCCTGTTTCTTAATACTTCGTTTAGTTTTTGGAAGGCAGCTTTCACTATTCCAATGCGCCTTCGAATTTCCGTGTCACATTTTCCGTCCTTTGTTAAAACATTTCCCTGAAAATTAATTATTCCTTTACTTGTTTGATTTCGATATCCCGAGTTTTCTGCTTGCATTTTGGACTATCTCTCTTGCTGACAACTATCAATTATTTCTTTTTACAATTTGTGGTTAGTTTTTTCTTCTCCTTTTCCATTACTAACTTGTCATGAAATTTCTGTCGTTTCCTTGTTCTGTCTACCATCAACAGTTTCATCCGTATATCTTGTGTTGCTGGAATTGTACCCACCCATAATAAATACTGGTAGGACATCTAGTTCTCTTAATATTGTCTCGCTGTAATGTTTGAATAAATTCAACGAAAAGACATGTCCCTTCCCTAGGATCCTTTCTATTAATTTTCCATCCACATGCAGACATTTTGCTTCATTTGGTTAAAATTGGGAAGAGGCCCATGAATTGATAAAGTTACTTAATCTACAGGTAGCATTGTTACCTCCCTTCCAAGTAGCTTAACATAAATAACGTTGGCAAAAGTATACGTTCTTTTGGTGTTTTTTTAGTTTTAAGGATGCTGAGAATAACCTGGAGCGAACATGTGATTAATGGCGAAGTTTTAGAGAGAATGGAAACAGAAAGGGCACTTATACTTAACATCAGGACGAGACAGTTGAAATGTCAAGGGCACGTAATGAGGAAAGAGGGCTGGGGAAATCTGATACTCACAGGACAGATTGAGAACTGAAGGGACAGAGGGATACAACGCATATGACATCTAGCGAGTAGATGGTGGAACAAGGTTCAGGAGAGATAACAAAGACTATTTATTAAGAATAAGGGCAGAAAATTGTGAAGAGCTTTGTTCGCCAACGTCCTGGAAGGTCATGCCACATAGAAGTTAATGAATTAGAAAAATCCTCCAAATGTTTCGAAGGTGCAGGTCCAAAATCTATCTTTGCCCCCGGATGTCGAGAAGTGTTTGCTATGCCATTGCGTCCGACAATCAATTCTAAAAAATATCTGGGTTGAAATATAAGATGGCGTTTTAAGAATTGTTGTCTTAGTAAATTTTTAACCTTTCGTGTTTCTAACAACTTTCGAACTGGTAAGTCTATCATATAATCCGCTTATAAAATCTTAGATATTTGATTAGTGGCATAAATAACGAATTTTCTCATTCTTTCTTTTTTTTTATTTTGTGATTGTGTGTTATCGCTGTCGGTCTCTTTTTGATGTCTGCCTCAAAAGACACTGTCTAACAATGTATATTCAAAACTAATCCCATTGCAGGAAACACACGGACAGAAGTTCGCCAGCGCTCTCGTTCATACCTGAGCATCAAAAAGATCATCAAAACCAATGTTGCTTTAAGAATTGATATTTTTTTTTCTAAAGATAAGTCACTCGAATATAGGTAATCAGTCGTTTTTTGTATACACTTGAACAGGAATTGTTCGATTTTTTTTAATCTTCTGAGAATCAGGTCTTGACATGCAATTTTCTCTTTGTACAGAAAAATATTTGATTAAAAATAGGCTTCATAATAATGAAATATAAAAAAAATAACGTTGAAACGCAATAACGTTTCTAGAATTCCTGTAAAAGACGAGGATTTATTTTCTCTTATTTTGTTTCTTTTCTCCCCCTATCCTACGACCATATAATAAGCAGCATGGAAGAAAATCAAAGAATTACGCCAGCGTCGAGATTTCAACACTCTTTACTTATCTGTGAGAATCTGCCTTCCCAATATTGTCCCAAAAGCTTAACGAATGGACGTTTGCATAATAAGCCAGAGTACTATGTTCTTTTCTGATCACCACCATATTGTTTTTTTTATATTCATCAGTTCTCCATCTCGCAAAGTCTATTACTCCTCTACAACGTTAGCACTAACCAGAAACTGTCTTAGAGAAGAACATTTGCGGTAGTTAAAATAAATAAAAATAAACCCTTTTCACATCATGCAAAAATGGAAGCAGAAAGGCTCTAATCTGTTAACCCCTATCCCAGAATTCCAAAAGGAGGCAGTTTTTGTCCTCGTGTCTTTGCTGGGATCGGACATCCGTAAATCTGAACATAAACATGAAAAGGAAGAAGTGAAAACGCTTAGCATTTACCTAAAACACAGTGTCAATCTCCTCTACTTATTGCATATTACTGCTAGTAGTCAAAAGAACAACACTGACCTTTTTGTAAATTTCTCCTGTAATGAAGAATATTCTTACATACCGTCACATGAATTACATGGCAGTTATGTGCCATGCTTGATACACGCTTAGGCGATCATGTAACTTTCGATACGAGGCAGATTTTTTTTCCCGCGGTAGGTTGCCATTTCTTTCTGCAGTAAACCAGTTGCCATCCAAGGCTATAGAACCGGAGGAGTTATACCTTTCCCAAGGGTATAGCACGTAAGGGAATTAATGGATTCGACTAGAATTCGAACTTGGCTCTCTGATTTCTTAATCCGAGCCGCTATCCATTATTCCACCTACAGGACCAATACACTGGGGAAAATGCCTACAGCATAAACGTATTGCTATTCGTTTCAATTTCCTTATTTGTTAACCTAAAATCATTGTTTCGTTTTGTTTATTCGCTGACGGTATTTCCGCCATCAGTCGAAAGTGTTGCTTTTTCACTTTCCTCTTATAACCTATCCTATTTCTGTGTTTGACGAGTCTTAACATGCTCTAAGTCGAATAATAGATTTACACGCGCCACAGAATTACACGATCAAACTCAGTAGACTGCATCCAGTAAGTGTAAACAGGTCATCGGTTAGAAGCTATATGTTATGATTCTAGCAGACACAATTCTACATGAAGAGTAAAAAGTTGGAAGTTGCCAGAGATCTTAAAATGATTAAATATGGCGACAACTAGACTGGGTTATTGAAGTGTTTGGTACAATCAAAGACAACGTAAAGAAAAAGTGGCAATCAAAAACCAGCAAGAATATTTGTATTGTGTTTAGAAGTGGGCTTTTTCATTTAATTTCACACCTAACCATGGATGACAGTTGCAGTGATGGCCTCGGTTTACTAGTGGCCGTCGAAGGCCTGACACCAGAACCCGGTTTTGAAAACGAGGGAAAGATTTATAATACACGCATTTATAAAAAAAAGAAAATGCCTCAGCGAAGTTTGGGTGGTCTTTTAGATCCCAGACAGGAATGTATCGAACGAGAGGCATCTGGAGCCAGTCGCACCACACACTGGTCGAAAGTAAGTGAAAAAGACCTGAAGTGAAATTAAATGTAAAGTTAACTATGAAGGATTCAAGTGTCTACGTATGTAATTATTAATCGACACAACTATTTCATAACATATTGAGAACTAGAGAACGCTGGTTCTCTGTTGATCCACTAAGTACAACGCGTGTGAAATGTCTACACCTGCAAAATATAGCTGCTTCAATTCCGCTTATAAATTACACAAGTAGTCTTAATGTTACGACCTTCACTTACAACAGTAATGAAATGACAGAGTATCTTATTTTCTGCGATATAACTGACTTACTTTCTTTTTTTTTAAACTTCCAAAATCATTTTCTTCATGTACCCCGATGGCTGGATTTGGATAGGCCTTGCTATTTGGCTAACACTTAAATATAAAAACAGGGAAAATTACTGTCTTGCAGACCTTTTTCAACTTAGAAAGTAATTGAAGCCTTGCAGTCCGCCAGCGACCAAATGTTCTCGAAAGTTTCACTCACTTACAGTTTACAAATTTGTAGATTTCGAAAACTCATAGCCTCTATTATCAATGGGGTTAACAACAAAAAAAAAAGAAATAGTGTGTTCTACCTATGTACCGAACCCAAATTTACGCAGCTTGTAGAATGTATGTATTTATTGATAGATTTATTTCTTACGGCTTGTCAACACTTTGCAGATTATTTAATACCACAAAATTAGATTGTCAGAATTTTTAGGAGGTAATGATTTACTGATAAAAGTCCTCCTTATTAACACATAGCTGGATGAGAAGAGGTGGATGCATACCTTTCCCAAAATTATTTACGCGTAAGTGAATGGAACGAACCCGACTGGAATTAGAACTCGGCTCTCCGATTTCGAGACGTTATCCATTACACCACCCGCAGATTCAATCTTACAGCACCTGGTATTCGCAAGCGGTCACCCATTTAGGTACTGAAAAGGCTCAACTTTTGCTTAACTTCGGTGATCGTACGAGAACTGATGTTTTAATGTGATATGGTCATAAACCTTGTAGAACCTTGTACACCTACCCTAGTACACCAGTAAACTTGCCAGAACCTTGTACACCTGCCCTGGTATACCAGTAAACTTGTCAGAATCGAAACAAAAAAAAATCTTTAAGAAACACGAATTTTCAAGTCGCTCGACTAAAATTTGCCTGTGTCACCGTGCATAATTTATTTGTGTCGCAAGATCAGCCAAAGAAAAGGATTGATGAAAGGACAGTCGGTGAGAGTATTTTATTAGAATTCTTCAGCAGTTGAAGATGTCTACCATCAAAAATTAAGTGACGATGCCATAAATAACTATAAAACCGGCCACGATTCTCACTCTGTCTCAAATATATTTTTATAAAAGAAAAAGTTGGTGCTGTTCTTTTTTTTTTCTTTTTACTTATGTATCGTTTGAACCAATCAAAACTGCTTTGTTAACAAAAATCAAAATAAATATGACAATAAAAGCCATATTGGTTATATGTTATTCAGTTCGTAAGTATATAAGAGATGTGTTGCTTGCTGTATTTATCGTAATAACCAGTTAATAATGGTTGAATATAGGCAGAACATAGGAGAATTATTCCCTGTTACTGTTGATGAAAGATCTATGCTAATTTCGGATCTGCTCACGATCTAAGGCCAGCGTTAGCGTAGCTGCACTCCTAACTTTTAAACTGTCTAACTCACACATAATAATATAGCACAGATGTACTGGGAAATTCAAATAAAATTCGGAGATTCTTAATTTGTATCGCTTCATCACTACCGTTTAGATCCTTAATTTTTTCCAGTCACGGTGAACGGCTGTACTCTCAATGAGGCTCCATGATTTGAACGTTTATTGGGTCTGTATTCCTATAGAACTCATATATACAATCTACAAGACCTTTATTTGACATTTACGCGGTCTTGTGGAGGAAGACTGAAACAATATTCAAGCCCATCGCCACTCTATCGTGATTTCGATGACAAATGTCCATATGAGCTCCCTTTTTAATTCGAATTCAGTCCAAATCTTTACAGCTATGACACGCCATGTCAGCTCCATAGAGTCGAATCAAACTCATTTCCCGCGTATTCTAGTTTTAAGGGGGGGGATTCTAATCGGAGAACTTTTCCCAAGAACTGCCACTTTGTGGAACAGACTTCCATATGGGTGTTGTCCTGAAAACTTTTCACCTCTTCAAGTCAAATGTAAACCGTTATTTATCCTCCTAATCTTCGCTTTCTACCACCTTTTACATTCATATGACACACCCTATTCAAGAACCCTTGAGTGGCTCTCGAGTACCGAAGTTGATCGCAATGATGTGATAAGTCGAAAACATAGGTCTGTTTCGCCATGCTGTAATCTCTGTAAGTTGTATAAATTCCAAGCAAGCTGTACACTCATAGTTGTGTGTTTAGTTTCATATATTACTTAAAGTTTTATCAAAAGTGTGTACTGTAGCCAACATTCTTTTACGAAAGCCCTGATGAGGGACGGTATATGAAAATCAAGGAAATTGCATTTTTGTGATGATGGTGGGGACGGGTCGTAAAGATTTCTTTCTAAGCTTTAAAGATACATGATATGGTAAGAAATACATCATGTATACAATGTTATATCATTGAAGAAACTACGGGATGGATAGATGGACGATTGCTTTGCGTGGACGCCAAAATATATCCGGCCTTATCTCTACTTCGTTCATCGTAGAGTCACTTTTTAATTGCTACTGATCCCAGTTTCACGCTGAGCCGGGTGGTAGCACCTGTTAGGGTCCCAGCTATTGGCAATAGTGAAGCCCAAAACAAAACACTATGAACATATAAAAATACCTTTTAATAATAAAGACACAAGCAATAATTTTTTTATATTTAAAATAATACCAAACACAACTATTAATAGTAAAATGTCCAATGCATTTTATATTGTAGTTAAAGGTATACAAATGCGTTCAGAATATTTAGATTTTGGCATTAAATAACCCATAGAGGTTGATATGCCGCTAATGAAAATCAGCCAACTAACTTCCTGCAACAGCTTTTAGAATTTTACAATCAAGCCTCCTGGCAAATGGATGCAATGCCCGTGAAACTCAAAACAGAGAAAATAAATTCAATTTTATTTTATTCCTGTTAATAGAGAAAGAGCATTAACTCTATGTATGTGTATCTATCTATCTATCTATCTATCTATCTATCTATCTATCTATCTATCTATCTATCCATAAAGGATACAGAAGGCGCTTATCTCTCTTTGGTGAAAGATAAATCCCGTGGTCATATGACGACCGCTTCTTGACGTACTCCATGCAGTGACCCAAAGCGGCCGTCGATTTTCAGTTCATGAATAGCAACCAAACGAGAAGATTGCTTTCTTCTAGCGTGAGCCTTTGACCCAGGCTGAGGCTAAATCTGCCTCCCCAGCTTACAAGCTGTTTCCCTTTGGGACATAGATCAAGCCGGTCCTTTTAAATATATCTTCAAATTATATGTAAAACCTTTCCTTCTTTTGCTCCTTATATTTGACTTTGTTACGTATTCCAACATCAACGGAAGAGATTTCTTTAATTGTTTATAAAAATTTTTCATTCGACTTTTTGATATTTTTTAATTTTTGGAAATCATCTTCGAATACGTCTTAACAACATCGCCCACGTGACGACTACGTGATCATATTTAAACAGAACGCTGATCTGTATAAAATTTCAGTTATCTGTCTGAATTAGTTGGGCTCTTATGTCCATCGTCTTTTGTGTTAAATTGTTATAAGTTATAATGTTAATTATGTTTAAATGAAAATGTCCATGAAGATGGTCTTAAATAGACCGAAACGTCCGACGTCGACTTTATTTTAACATTAATAATGCATATTCAGAATTTTGTTTTTTCTGTATTTTTCTTTCATATATATATATATATACATAAATATATATATATATATATATATATATATATATATATATATATATAAGAGAGAGAGAGAATTAAATAGATAGATATCAAGGTTGCAAATTATGCTTACCGAAAAGCGTTATCTTCCAGAAATACCCTGATTAGTTGTTGTTTTTTTTTCTTTGTTACAATGTGGGCGGGTCTATAAATAATCTGATACATAGTTATTAACGGAAATCTGATGTGACATTTTCAGTGTATAGTGTTCGATCAGTGAGATTAATGAAGAAACTTAAAATTACCTGCATTGACAAGAGTGACAGTGTTTAAAATACATACTTTTTTTCTTCAGTAACTTAACCTAGATTGCGTTCAAGCATAAAATACTCTTGTCAATCGGCGTTGACCCCGATGTCCACTTTTATATTTACACACGCTTTATCCCTGATATTGAGCATTTTTACCTATAAATATAGCATACCTTAAAACTGTTTTTATCATATATGTATATATAACAGTGGTACTTAAACAAGAGCATATTGGGAACAGTTAAACCAGTAGTCTCCCCTCTTATTAAGGAGATATATGATCCATAACACCTGTTCATAATTATCTAGCGGTCACGTATTGAGTTACTATAGAATATGATAGACCGATGGAAGGCTGGAGAAGAAAACGGCCGAAACTGTGACGAGTATTACCAATATGACGATACTAATTAGAATGTATTAGTGTCTATTTACACATTCCCAAACAACCGCATTATTTTAACAATGGCTCAGTGGAATAAAGTTTGTATTCAGTGCCACTAAGCCTTCCGACATGTTTCTCATGTAAGAATTGATGCTATACAATCTTCAGAATACCGACAAAATTGTAAAGTCTCCAACAGACAAACCGTTTGAATTAATAATGAGCTGTATCATATCACCGCTTGTATTCAGCAATGAACACTGGCCAAACACTTCACAGGTGAATAGAAACCTTGTGGCAATAGATATATGGTTCTACAAAAGGATGCTGAGAATTCTAGGGATGGAGCGTGTAAGCAATGAGGAAGTGTTAAGGAAAATAAAAATATAAAGTACAATTATACATGATACATAATGAGGAAAGAAGGCTTTGAATATCGAAAACAAGAAGAACAACAGGGAAAACAACGAGTAACTTGCTAAGTACGTAGTGTAAATGAATAGCAAAAACCTTTAGTGAGCTTATAGAAAAAAAAGGCAAACATTAAGAGCAACAAATGATAGGAAGTTGAATTCACACTGTGTATAAAAGAAACTCAGAACAGACATGGAACGTAAACTGGACAGTTTCCAAAACATTTTTGGATAGACAAAAATCAAGCCGAAACCTTGCAAAAATCTGAATCTTTTACTAGAAATAGCATAAGATCAGAATTGTCTATTAATGGTAGGAATCAGATTTTAGCAGAACGCCAAAAGTTTCGATAAGTGTTACACTTTGCTTTTTAATGATTTCTTTCTACAGGAATGGTCTACTGAAAACATTAAGAAATCTGATCCAACATCCAAGAATATTTGGATTTGGCGAATTTAGAACTTTGTCGTTTAGAATAGTATATTTTTTTAATTCCTATATCCTAAAAGGACGTAGGCGATTATCACTCTCCACAACTTCCGTTGCGAATTGCCTTACACATATTTTGGAGAAAAATAGTTGGATGGTTTCTAGTTGCCTTCTCTAAGGTTTCGAATTCAAAGTTTTCCTTCTCTTAAACTGGTTGCTACCCGAGTTTAGAGAGCCCAGTCTACGATGTTATTTAACCCATAAGTGGTGGGGAGATGATTCATGCCTTTCCCAAGGACGAGAGTAAACAGACGAGGCTATACTTGAATTTGAACTCGGCTTGACGATTTCACTTTCCGCGGCGATATCCTTTACACCCTCCACACATCTTTTTGGGGATAGTAAACAATAGTATATGAGCCTTTAATTTGGGAGAGTAAAAAAAAATCAAATTACAGTGTGAACAATACTGAGCTAAACATGCCTCTAAGTCTCTAATACCCACTATATATATCAGCTTCAGTTAGAGCATAAGTTGAAGTTACTCGTATCTTACAGCCATGAACAAGAATGTCAGCATCCATTTTTTT